TGAGGCTTCTCTTCTGCAGCTCAGCAGCCCCAGGGCTCTCAGCCTGTCCTGGCACAGAGATGCTCCAGGCCCCTCAGCAGCTTTGCAGCCTCCACTGGACTCTCTCCAGTAGCTCCTGGTCTCTCTTGGCCACAGTACTCCAGAGGTGGCCTTGCTGGGGTGGGGCAGAGGGACAAGAGAACCTCCCTCAACCTGCTGGTCACACTCTTCTCAATGCATCCCAGGAGACCATTTGCCTTCTTGGTTAGAAGGGCCCATTCTTGGCTCATGGGCACCTTGTCCCCCAGCACTCCCAGGTCCTTCTCCTTGGAGCTGCTTCCCAGCAGGTCACCCCTCACCTGTACTGGTCCATTCCTCCCCAGCAACAGAATTCTACTCTTGCCCTGGCTGAACTTCATGATGTTCCTTCCCACTTGACTCTCCAGCCTGTGCAGGTCTCACTGCACGAGATGTGAGTGTAACCCTTGGCTGTCTAACACCCGGTCCACATCGCTGTCAGCAGCCTCTGGAACGAGCAACTGCAACTATCTCATCCACCAGACCAGCTCCCTGTAAGCCCCAGCTAACACTTAAGCAGGCTGGACAGGCATGGAGCTGGAGGAGCTGCCAACACAGCAGAGGTGGAAGCTGGGTTCTCCAGCTACCATGACCAGTTCAGGAACCAGCATCTCACCCACGGTCCTCCCAGCAGGGAGAGGACACCCCAAGAGTTCCTTCTTCACCCGTTAATCAGATTTCTAAGACAACTCGTTTTCCAGAGCCATGACCAATGCCCTGTCCCTCAGGGTGTGCTCCACCCCTGCCCCAGGAGCAGGACCCAAACGCTTCACTCACCTGAATAATAAATTAAGACCAAAGAGTGTAAACATGACAGCCATGTAGCCCACGATGCCGGTGGCGTAGCTGATCTTGTATATGAGCAGGAACCATTTATACACCAGCCTGCGGAGACAAACCGGGGACGTAACGACTCCAGCTCTGCCCAAGCACAACTGCACCCAAGGAGCATCCCTTGTAGCCCTGGCTGCAGAAACTCAGGGAATCAGCAACGTGTTTTGGTTGGAAGAGACCTTCCAGGTCATAGAGTCCAACCCTTAACCCAGCACAGCCAGGTCCCCACTGACCCATGTCCCTCAGCACCACATCTCCATGGCTTGGAAACCCCTCCAGGGATGGATACTCCATCCCTGCCCTGGGCAGCCTGGCACAGCCCTGCACAACCCTCAAGGGCAACAAATTGTTCCTCAGGGCCAACTGAAACCTCCCCTGGGGAAACCTGAGGCTGTTGGCTCTTGTCCTGTCCCTTGTTCCTTGGGAGAAGAGCCCGACCCCCACCTGGCTCCAGGCTCCTGTCAGGGAGCTGTGGAGAGCCAGAAGGTCTCCCCTGAGCCTCCACAGCTCCAGGCTCAGCACCCCCAGCTGTTCCTCACCACACTTGAGCTCTAGACCCTTCCCCAGCAGCTTCATTGCCCTTCTCTGGCTAATGTCCAGCCCCTCCAGGGCCTTCTGGGAG